CTGTTAAAAAAAAACAAGAAAAAAATTCGGACGTTTATTTCAAATACGGTTATTTACTAAAAATAACTTTTGAAGCAATGTAAATGTACGATTAAAAATAAATCTAGTAACTCTTTAGAAATAGTATGGATATCAAAATCTTTATATATATATATATATATATATATATATATATATACAATATGAATCATTCATACAAAAATTAGATTAGTAAAGTTAATATAAAATGGCGAAATACTTTCGCTAACGAAATTTTAAAGATGCATTAACCTACAAATCACTCGATGAATGTTATGATCCTTGTTTTGAAAAATTTTAAGCTGTATAAGGGCTTTCTTTAATACGCAAGTACTTTCGACTATACATTCAGTCATCTTCAGGCATGGAAATTATTTTGTGTTTTGGTAAAATTCAGGTAGCATCCGAGACGAAATATATAATGCGTATGGAAATATGTTTTTTTCTGAAATGTGTTATTGAAAACGGATACAAATTTTTGGAGGCATGCAGTCGCAACGCTAAGGTTGAATTTTTGAAAATTTAAGAGAGTGCGTTTTTTACTAATATGGTAGTTTGAGAATTTTTTTGTTGTAGGGGTTTATCAGTCAATGTGGCATGAACTAAATAGTTCAATAAATAATGTCTTAGTTGTTAATACCAAAAATAAAATCAGTTCATAGGATCATAGCATTCATCGATTTAGTTGTAGGTTAATGCACCTTTAAAAAATTGTTTGCGAAGGGATTTCACCATTTTATATCATTAACTTAACTAATTTACTTTTTTTGTAAGAATGATTCATTGTAATTTAAACTGAACTGTACCACATATTTGATATAGGCTCCTGAAAAATTAATTTCAGTTGAGCTCTCTGGGGAAGAGGTGTGGGTTTGTAAACAGTGACTATTATGATATTGCGAGACTCTTCGGCAAAAGCGAATTGAGTCCCTGTCGGTCACTGTGTGTGTTTATCTAAAAATAAATACGCTAAAATTCACCTTCATCCCATTAAGCCGACGGCTTAATGGTTAGAATCTCCGACTGACGCCAATTCAGTTGGGTTTCGATCCTAGCTAGAGGCAGCCGGATGTCTAGCCACACTGAAGAGCTGCGGAACAGTCTGTCTGTGGATGACTATATATATATATATATATATATATATATGTGTTGTCAATAAAATCACTATATAGTTACTTTGTTTATGCTTATCGCAAGTTAATCTGACCAGTGAGAGAAGTTTATGTAATCTATTATCTAACTTACTGTGTTCCACCTGTTGGCTTATCAACCAGAACCATTTTCATAATACATTTCTGGAGTGTTGATTAATTTCTTTTGTCTTAATTGGTATTGTAAGTAAACGTATAGTGACTTTACGGCCACATTTTAATTCTGGATAGATATATTATTCAATTATATCGCATGCCTTTCCATATTCTAGGTTGCATATTGATTACCCACTTCTTTTAACCATTTTAACGTCTATTATTACTTAACGAGGTCTCCCGGCTCTCCTCTTTAAATATTAAGCTTGACTTGTTTTTTTTTCTTCTTTTACAATAGCTCCCTACATGATGTTTAACTGCGATGTGTACTCACAAGAACGGAAACACAACCAGGCTATAAGACGGTTCCGTATAGGATACACGTTCGAATCCTGTCGAAGGACGAATATTTTCTATGAAAATTTCTCGGACATTCAGGCCGGTAAATGTTATTTAATACTGTTTATACATACAGAGCATTTACTTAAATACTTGTATCTATAAAAAGAATGTTAAACATAAAAATGTTTATATATATATATATATATATATATATATATATATATATATATATTTTGTTGTATTTACATCCCGATAATATTGGTTTATATTAAATTTGAGCAATGACTATGTCCTTAATTTTTCTAATAATTCGTTCCTGATGAGTTGGTAGAACAAGGAAACTTTAAGTTGCACTTAGAAGGTAGGTATATGTATATTTATTAATATATACTTCTTAGCTCTGTGTAACCACATTGAACATCCGATGAATTTTCCTTACGTGGACCGCGTTACAAGTGACGCCTTGCGAGAAACAAACAGACAAGAAACAGACCCGCTGGAAGACGACAAAAGACCGCCAAGAAGAGAAAGCTGAAATATTATGGATGATCAGAAAAGCCAGAAATCGCCCAACGGCCATCCTCTAAGTATCAATCCGTGGCAAAAGAAGAAGAAGAAACAGTAAAAAAAAGAAAAGAAAAAAGGGGCTCACAACGTCCCCAATTAGACTGGCATATGCTTTCAAACATTGGCACGCAACCGAGAGATATGCAGGGAGTTGGTCAGTTACACAGAATCGCAGTGGTCATGCTATCACAATCGACTATTGGACTAATGAGGAAGATGTACAAATATCCCTGGGCCAAATTTGACAAACCAATTAATAATTAGTACATGTATTCACAACAGTTAGATAGTGCATACCCAAATCATTATACTACCAATGGTCTGCGAGAATGGCTTGCAAATATTCGTCTGACACAGGGCCACGATAGTTGAGTAATCCGTAAAGATTAGAAGCATTATACTGTTAATGGTCTGCGAGAATGGCATGCAAATATTTGTCTGGCACAGGGCCTGCATAGTTGAGTAGCCATTAAATGTTAAAAGCATTATACTACCAATAGTTTGCGAGAATGTCATGCAAATATTTGTCTGGTACAGGGCCACGATAGTTTAGTAATCGGTAAAGATTAGAAGCATTATACAACCAATTGTCTGCAAGAACGGCTTGTAAATCTTCGTGTGGTACAGGTAGTTGGGTAATTAGTAAAAATTAGAAGCATTAAACTACCAATGGTCTGCGAAAATATCTTGCAAATCTTCGTCTGGCACATGGCCACGATTTGAGAGAAGTCAGTAAAGAACAAAATCATCATAATACTAATGGTGTGCGAGATTAACTTTATGCTCTTTCTTCGTCTGGCAAAAGGCTAGGAAAGTCAAATATCCAGTAAAGATTAAATTTCATATACTCCTAATGGTCTGCGAGATTGACATCGTAATCTTGGTTTGGGCCAAAGTTCAAAGACGTATTGGGATGGCCATGACGCATTCTAAAAGCTAGGCAGAGTATTACGAGACAGGAGGATTTCTTTGGTAACAAAGAAAAGAGTATTGAACTGCTACATGATATCTGTCCTCCTTTATGGCAGCAAATGTTGGACGGCCTCCTCAAAGATGAAGAAGAGACTTGAGGCGGCGGAGGTATGGTTCTACAGAAGGATGCTGAGGATATCATGGACCGAGCGTGTAAGCAACGATGAGGTCTTAGAGAGGATGCAAACAAGGAGGAAGCTTATACTTAACATCATGAAGAGGCAGCTGAAATTTCTGGGACACGTAATGAGAAAGGAGGGCCTGGAGAATCTGACACTCACAGGTCGAATAGAAGGAAAGGGAAATCAACGCATGACATACCTAACGAGCTTAAGCAAGTGGATGATATGGGGGAAGTACCAAAGGGACAAAACTTATTCAGAACTACAAGGAATAGGAAGAAGTGGAGAGCCATGACTGCCTACGTCTTGAAGAGACACGGCACATAAAAAGAAGAAGTTTGTTAAAAATCAAACTCACTGTGCGGCCTATCATGTGCCAGACTCGCTCCGGTACTCGACCGACACATTTTTTTGTTATCAATCTTAGCTTGGCACAAGGCCAGAATAGTGAAACATTTACTGAAGATGGAAGTGGGAGTTTAAACTGTTAATGATAGCTCTACGGCGTTGCATTCTACTAAATCTACTTCTGTGCTCAAAATACTGTTTAGGTTTACATATGTGAATGTTTCCATAAGTCAGCTACTTTTTGGCGTTTGCTTAAATGTAACGTTAAAATAGATTACTCGTATATATTTATATGAAAAGGAAAATCTGTGTGTGTGTGTGTGTGTGTGTGTGTGTGTGTGTGTGTGTGTGTACCATTAACAAAAGCAAAGGACAATGTGAACTATTCGGAAGTTATGTCTAGTACGTAACAATGATTTCCAGAAGACAATTTCGCCCCAATCTTACGGAGAGGTTTATTGAGAACGTTCCTTACAAATATAAAAGTTTAGCAGTAAGAGTCGTCATGAATGGAAGAAAGCGCTAACGATGTCTCCACCTTGGTACGCACTGGTTAATGCATATAAATAGATAAAAAAAAAACTCTCAAGGATGTGTATATTTTTGTTCGTGAGATCACTCGTGAATGTGTGCGCGCGCGCCCGCATGCATATATCGACTAAGTTTACTTTATTCTGACACAAGGTCATAAGGAAGCAGATATGGGGGGAAGATTGCGTTGCGCCAATTTTTACAAAAGTGGAGGACCTTTCTGCCTTTAAAATCGAGCATTCGTACTGGGTTTGGGCGCAGAGTATCGGCACAGGCTGTAAAAACAAAACTCACCCACGAAGCAGGCTCGAACGGATGCAGGGGTGTGTGTGTGTATACATGTGTGTGTGTGTGTGTGTGTGTGTGTGTGTGTGTGTGTGTGTGTGTGTGTGCAAACGTTTAATGTCTTCTTACGTATTTACTGCCAAAAAGAATTTTGATAAATGCATGTTTAAAGTCTCGGTTGAACACTGTATAAATGACTGGATTAAGTGCCGAGTTACAATAACCAATCCAGAAAAAAATATCAAATACCGTTTCCGGTATGCAGTTTTCACAAAATGCAGAAACAACATAGAGCGTGAAAAACGGACACCAACACAAAATAAAAGCGGCCATAACTATTCCCAAAACTATTGTAGCGCGGCGTTCCCGCGCTTTTGCTATTCGTCGTTTCTGTTTTTCGGCATCACGAGCCGATGGCGCCTTCCAAGTCTGCTCTTTGCGATTTTTTTCTGTGTCCGTCTTTTTATGACATTTTTTAAAGTTTATCATAGGGATGTGTTCCTTCTTCTTTTTGCTTTTCGATTTTTCCTTGTGCTTTTTGTTGTTTCCATCTTTTTCCTTGGCAGACGGCGATGTGATGATGTTCGGCGTTGGGCCGGCGTATTGTGTAGTATGGTTGTCTTCACCGTGTGGGGTCTGGTTGGTTTGACTGTGTTGCGAGTTTATTTGGTTTTGTTGCGGGGATTGTTGGTTAATGTGATTCGACTCCCTGCGGCTTAAACTCGGGGTTTTCACCTCTGTCGCTGTGCCTGTGTCCGTCATTTGGGTCTCAGGAGACAAGTAAGGCGAGTCGAAGCATGTTGAATCCGTATCCCCGGCTAGTAGTGGCTTCACGTTTTCTTCTACTGTCTCCAGTTCAGTCGAGACGTCCCCCTGGTGTCGCTGTCTCTTTGGAGACTCCATCGACGACTCGGTGTCGGTGACCAGAACTAAGCGCTGGTTCGGGGACCGGATCTCGCCCACCTCGCTATCACTAGTTGCAATTCGCAGCCGATTATCGACAGACATGGAATCCGAGTCAGTCGGCAATAATTTCCGTTGTTCGTCCTCCGTTTGAAGGAACTGTTGATGGGTTCGATCCCGACTGGGAACTTTTAAACTGTTGTCGTGGGTCACTGGCACGGCATCTTCGTCGGAAAACGACGATTCTTTGTCGTCGTCAGCCGCGCCTCCGCCTCTGCCTCCACCTTTGCTGCCCCTTCTTCCAACGTTGGCGTTCGGTGTCACGTTTGCAGCGTTTGTAGTTGTGACGTTCATGCTTTTTTGATTGTTGTTTTTTGGAGGTGTTGTGAAACTCGTGGTTGTTGATGACGTACTTTTGTCTCTGATGTTGTCCGGACAGACTACTTTCGGTTTGCTGGCGAGCGACCCACGCGCCCTCTTGCGAGCGGCGAGATATATACGGAAATAGACGATCACCATAATCACCATTGGGATGTAGAAAGAGCCACAGGAAGAATAGAGGACATAACCAATGTCTTCGCTTAGAAAACAGATCGGGTATTTGGTGTCAGTTTCTTGTCGTGGCTGTTTCCAGCCGATCAAAGGCGGAAGGCAGATGATACCTGAAAGAATCCACACAATAGCGATCATGATCGCTGCTCGTTTTGGTGTTCTCTGCTGGGGGTAATGAAGGGCCCGGGTGATGGACCAATATCTGTCTAGACTGATCAGAACGAGGTTCAAAATGGATGCCGTACACAACAGTACATCAATTGACAACCAGAGGTCGCACCACACATTACCGAAATACCAGTATCCCATCATTTCGTTACACCACGAAAACGGCATTACCACTAAGCCAAGTAGCATGTCGGCCACCGCCAGTGAAGCAATAAAAGCATTCTGGGTAATTTTAAGGTTCTTGTCCGTGTAGATGGCTATACAGACGAGACCATTCCCAAGTCCGACGAGAATGACCAGTATGACAATGAAGCATGTCGAAATGATGACAGTGGGCCAACTGTATCCGCTTGGAAAACCGGCCCCAGGATATACAGGATCCGTTTCCACAAAAGAGTCATTGTATGACGTGTCATTTTCGTAAATGAAATGCCACAAATCGAATGTTACGTGTTCTGTGTATCCATGGCTAAGTGAGTAGTCGGTTGTGTTTTCCAACATTGTGAAGTTGTCGTCTGTATAGTTGGAATTGGTAAAGTTGATATTTAAAGTGTATGGCATCAATGCCATCTTGGGAAAGTCAATTTCAATATTGTTAGTTTATTGCGTATGTAACTTTTTTTTTAAAGTAAATGTTGTTTTGGATTTAGAGGTAATTTTTAATTTTTTTATATTAATTAAATTTGTTTATTTTCTTTAGAATATTTTTATTTTTTGCATTTTTCGTTTCTTTTTTTGTTTTTCTTTCAGTTTCTTTTAAAATTCTTTGACGTATTTCTTTCTTAAAAATGTTTGCTATTTTCGTTTTTCTTTCTAATTTGATTTCCTTCGTGTTTTCTTTCTTCCTTTCTTTCTTTCTTTCTTTCTTTCTTTCTTTCTTTCTTTCTTTCTTTCTTTCCCTCTCTTTCTCTCTTTTCAGTTTTTCTTAGTATTTTTCTTTTCTTTCTTTACCTTTTTCTTTCGATATTTTTTCTTCTCTTTTATTTTTTCAGTTTCTTATGAATCTTTTTCTTTCTTCCCGCTTATTTTTTTCTTCTTTCTTATTTTTTTTTCTTTGTTTCGTATTTTTCTTTCTTGTTTGTCTCTTTTTTCCTTATGTTATTTCTTGTTTTCTTTCTTTCTCACTCTTTCTTTCTCTCTATTTTTTCTCCTCGTTTACTTTTTTCTCCCTTATTCTTTCTTTCTTTCTTTCTTTCTTTCTTTCTTTCTTTCTTTCTTTCTTTCTTTTACTCGTTTCTTTTTTTTCCTTTATTTCTCTTTATTTTTCTTACCTCTCTCTATTAAACTCTACTTCTTTCTTGTTTTATTTTTCTTCCTTTTCACTTTCTTTGGTTTTACTTTCTTTCGTTCTTCTTTTATTTTTATTTTCTTCTTTTCTTTCTTTGTCTTATTTTTCTTCTTTATTTTAAAGAGTTCTTCCTCTTTGTTTTCAATTTAAAAAAAAAATTAATGCTCCTTATCAACCATTATTTCTTTCATGCATGCATTTATTCAGTACGAATCTTTCAGTTTGAAGCCTTTTCTTTCTATTTATCCACCATTTTACCTTTTTTCTGTGTTATTTATTTTGTATTATCGTCTGACTCTATCAGTCTCTTTGTATTTTTTCTTTACCCTCCATTTTCTTCCCCGCCTTTTTACAAAAATTCTCCTTGGTGTCTTTAAACCTTCATTCATTTAATGATCGAGAAGTGATAAGATTTTATCCAAAATGAATCATTTTCTCGAAATGTTGTTTTTTAGTCATGAACAAACCACCTATCGCAAAATAAATGTTCATTTGTGGATACTATCCACATTTGTTAAATAAATCTCTCCTTTTATAACTTTTATAATCAGATTATTTAAGTTTGACAGTTAAACTGATCTTAATAATATATTTATTATTAATTACACACTTGCGAGTTCAGCTATTGAGCAAATTCTCATATATATATATATACATACATATATATATATATATATATATATATATATGTATGTGTGTGTGTGTGTGTGTGTGTGTGTGTAGTGTGTGTGTGTGTATGCATATATGTGTAATCCCTGTAAAAATTCTTAAAGATTATGTTCCTGTGTTATAACCAACTTTTCGATTTTGCCCTCATTGTCGAGTTTGCAAGATTCAAGCCACATGTAAAATGATATCTCACTATGTAAACACAATCTCTTTTCGTAAAAGGAATGGAAAAAAATAAATAAACATGCTTCAATGTTTCGTTTTCTGCTCTAACCTAAATATTTCCATTTTTATGGCAGGAATCTCGCAAATCGACCATGAGCGCCATATTTGTTTTTCATTGTTTTTGTTTCCAGAAAAAGAATCAACAGTCGTATTTTTTATTTCTTATTTTTAGTTACGTCATTTTTAGTAAAACGACTCCTTCTTCTTGTTCTTCTTCTACACAGCAAATCTAGTAATATTATATACGATTTTGGTTATTCTTAAAAACTATATTCTATTTTCCCCCCAAAAAAAATAATTCAAGTAAAATATATAAAGAAATATATAAAGAAAATATTCGATATTAGATAGTCCAAATATTGAAATGATAGTAGGCATCGATCCAGTAAAGAGGAAACGCAGTCTTTGACTTAATGCATCGCTAACTAATTCTTCACTTCCGCCATCTTGGTCTTAACAAATCCTCAAACATTTCTTCTCGCATATTTACGTGCACATTAATAATATTCTTATTTACTAACATTTGATTAAGTTTCAATGGATATATTAGAAACCATTCATTTATTCTACCATTCATTAACTCTATATAATCATATAATCATGGATAATTTGATCTTTTTGTTGATAAAAGAAGACTTCCTTTCTTCCCTTATATATATATGTGTGTGTGCATCAGTGCATGTCTAAGTATATTAAATTATTTCCGCTAGAAGATATGGTAGTTATTCGTTGATTTTAACGTTTAGTTATTTTTTTCAATAGCTTTATAAAGTTTTCTTTTCCAAAACACCGATCGTAAGAGAGAAAAAAGGAAAAAAATATCGTTATATTTTAGTATTTTTATCGATTCGAAAAATTCATGGAGTGATGATGAAGAGAATAGGTTCATTGCTTCACTTTCTCGAGTCTTTTCACAATAAACGATAAGTTTATCTATTTCTATGCAAACACGACCAAGGTATTAGCTAGTCGAAATTACTTTTACGTTCATTCCCTTTTTTTATGGAGAATCCGTGAATAAAAAAAAATAAATGTTAAAAACAAACTTCCTGTATTGCGATATTTATATTCACAGTTACTATTAATTATATATATATATATATATATATATATATATACATACATACATACATACATACATATATATATATATATATATATATATATATATATATATATATTTATTAATGAAAAATGTTCTAGACGTCGTCGATTTTTGTTTATTACATGGACGCGATGTTGTCTGCTTTCTCCATTTGTTAAAATGCAATGTGTGGTTTTTATTTCATTTCAATACATAGTGATTGGCTGACTTATTTGCGAGTACCAGTTTTTGCTTGCTATTTTTCTTACTGTGGCTTTTTACTTCAAGCAAAAGAATATTGACCTAAGCGTTGTTTTTTTTTTTTTATTCTTTTCCCCTGTTTCAGTAAATGTTCGTTTTGTGTTTCTAGTTTTATCCTTTTTATAACAAAATTCCGAACGTTGGAATAAGTGATTTATTTACTCATCCGAATAAAAATGTAATAATTTTCTTTATGAAATATTCACCGTTTGTTTAAAATTGTTAGAATAGATGTGTTTTTATAACGTGAATAAATTGCGTCATCTACAGAAAATAGCCAATCTAGTCGAATTGGAGCAATTTGAATTACTTAGGCAAAAAGACATATTTCTTTTTTTTTATCATTGGATTAAAAAGAAATTCAAATAGAATAAATAAGTTTGTATCGTATAAAATAATAATTCCGTCCATTTCCGCGAGTTGTGCGTGGAAGACATTCACAAATTTAGCAGTTTGGAAAAATACTTTTGTTGTATTTGGTGAGCTAGAGAAACTGAATTTAGAAGCTGAAGAACCCAAACACGTTTGTTTTTAGTTTATTTTTGAACACTTAAATTTGCTGTTCATTGCATATCGCTGTTCTTAGATTTAAGAAGTAGAAACAATATTTTTTTTATTATATATTTGCTTTCCAATTTGTACTAAAACCAATTTCCACGTCGACATATACGCTATTGTGCAGTTTCCGATCTTGCAGATTGTTCTTTTAAAAGGTGTTAGTTACCTGCCTTCAGGGCTTCCGTTTTGTTTTGTTACTTGAAAGATTCAAATCGTGTTTCTTTTGTTCTTTTTTACTATATAATTATTAATTTTTTTTTAATTTGCTCTCATTTATTGTCAGTCGTTTTCGACTGCTTTTCAAATGATTTCGTTTCGCTTGTTCTGAGCGTTCCTAGTTTTGTATATGGTCTCCGCTCCATCTTTTCGTACATTCTCTCCGTTGCGGGCGGTCATTCCATTAGAGAGAGAGAGAGAGATAGTGAGAGTGAGAGAGAGAGAGAGAATGAGAGAAAGAGAGGGGGGGGAACAAATTATTGCTGATGGTCCAACCGCTCTGGATGCTTCATCTGCAGCGACATCTTCTATTTCGAACATCCAACGTAATTCGACACCTGTAAAAATATAAGAAAAAAAATTATTTCAGTATTTTTACAAAATATTTAGAATTTTTTTCTTTTTAAATTTCATATCATACAATTCTAGTACAGTTATTCACGGCATTAAAACGTATTTCACCGAGACATTGGCATAGCATTGTAGCCTGGCTGTGCTGGCCAGTTTTATGAAAAAAATTACTGTAAATAAGTGAAAATAAAAATGATCAGTGTGGTTTCGCTTGGCTACCACTATTTTTGTTTTGGTATGGTGCTGTACAGCAAAAACTAATTTAAGCAACACCCCGAAACAAAACATCATAAAAGTAGGTCAAAACAGTTCAAAATGTATGCTACTATATATCGACACTTGCTTGGAAATAGTACTAAATGCTAATTAGTTTATAATGCAAACATTAATAATCGACCGTCCTGGGTAAGATGATAAACTACGTCCAACAGCAAGGCATCTGATCAGGAGATTTTGAGGAGCGTGGACCCACCTCTTAATTACTGGTGTTCTCAGGTCCACTCTGTCTCGAGGTGGTAGCACCTGTTAGGGTCCCAGCTATGGGTAAATAGTTAACACCCAAACTGGGCTTGAAAATGAAAGTGTAAAAATAGGATTTAATACCAGAAATACTTCGTAAAAAATTATTACCAGCAATAAATTTTTGAAGAAAAATTATTACCAGCAATAAATTTTTGAAGAAAAATTATTACTAGAAATACATTATTGCCAGCAATACATTTTTGAAAAAAAAAATTACCAGCAATAAAAATATTGGCATTAAATAACCGATTGAGGTTGATAAGCCGTAAAACAAAACAAAGAAACCGATATTTCACGGAATTTTTTTACAAAGTCCCAGGAGCCACCCTAAGTAGAGGGTTACAGAGTAAGAGGCATAGTTTATATGGATATGTGGGGGGGGGGACGGTTAACACTAGACTTGAACAGGTTGAGATTGTAATGATCGAGGAAACATTCTTTTGAGAGCCGGTTCCATAAAGCAGCGATTTTGGGGAGGAACTATCTCGAGTGGAACTTACATCTGACTAATGGAATACGAATGGAATGAGGGTGGTTCGATACAATGGGTGTGGTGGGGTGGTTCTTAGTCGTGAGGGTTAGAACTGCAGCAACTAAAGAACACTGAAAGTCTGAACATTTTCCATGGAAATAGCGATTTAGCTGCGGGAGGCTTGCGACGTTTCGCCTGTGTGAAAAGATGGTCGTAGGGACGAAAATAATTCATCATTTTTATACACGTCAACTGCACATAACGTATACATGCGTATACAGTAGAAATTAGGAAATATTACGCTGGTCAACAACAAAAAAAAAAAAAATTAAAATGGCGTCGAGACACCAAACATTTTCTAGCTGATCTGAGGGCTCTGAATCTGAAAATGGCCTTACTTTTTCTTGGTTAGCTACCATTTTTGTTGTACAGAAAAGCCTCATTTTTAGAAAAAAAATCATTTTTTTTATTTATTTTCTGTATATATGATATTGACTGTTGGCAATATTTCATAAAGTAAAATCGTAGAAACCTGTCAATTCGTATTTAAACCAACAAATATTGGTCTCCTTATTGAAAAATACTATTTTTGCAATAACAATGAGACCCTAAGTCTTTAAAAATAACACGATTGAATATACCAAGAGCAACAAGTATTTTCATCAAATCATTTAATAAACTAACAGCAGAAAAAAAACCTTTGTGCACATAAGAACTATGGTAAAATTTTCTTTCTTGATTGTCCGCCATGTTCAATTTTATTTAAGTCCTTTTTGTACACCAGCAGTATCATGTACAATAGAATAGGTGCATTCATTTGGGATGTCTTTAATAGGAGTTTCTTTCCAACTGTGAAGCAAAATGCTCTCAATGTTCTTGCTTTCCTTCCGTAGTGATGGGATAAATTTATGAATATCAAACACATGGTTTCGTTTTTTTGATGTCATCTTAATTTTCTTGGTTAGCTACCGTTTTTGCTGTATACAAATGCCTCATTTTTGGAAAAAGAAAGCAGTTTTTTATTTGTTTTCTGTA